CAGGCCGCCTCCAGGTAGCGCAAGGTACGAGTTGTTAGTGCCCGAACAAGTAGTCGGAAGGATGTTTTGAGGTCTACAGAATGGCCCGAATCCAATAGGTGTTCAGTAATGGAAGAACGGGGTGTCCTATTGTCCTGTTTTTATAGCCAACTCGGCAAGTGCTCCTTAGCTCTGGCCGCCAATTGCCGTTGTGCTCGCCCTATGTACTTGCATCAGCAAGTGCATGTAAATTGTTGTATTCTCTCATTCGTTACTCACTTTATGCAGCCAGAGGACACAGCTGATGAGCACTCACGAAATTTATGGTTCCAGTAAATTCTGCTGCATACGCAATCTTCAAGTTTGCACCTGGGAAAAGATGCTTCAAATTTCTCTATATGGATTGTTTAAGCCATCTTGTTTGGGCAGTCAGCTTACTGTATCAGCATTGATGGATTACATGAGCAGGTAACTCCCGGCGCCCCATGGGGCCTCGCAGCTGAGGTGTTTAGAGTGTTGCTGTCGTGTATTCAAATCCCACCCAGGTCGTGAGGTATTTCACGAATAGTTCGGACGAATTGTTATTATTTGGTTAGAATATTGAATCCCATCACATAAGCCCAGCCAAGTAATTTTGGCAGGTGAACCTCATGGCGGATACATCGTCAGAGCTTTTTGTTTTCCGTATTGCCAGACTTGTCATTATTACCGCTCACGAAATGATCTTTTTTCTTCTTCCTCCTCATCATCTTAGGAAAATCGCCAGCTGTTTCGCGCGGAAGCTGACTCCGAGGCTTGGCGTACCTATGTGGAAGAGATTGACACAATTGTACGTGATGGCTTCCTCAGTGCCATCCGTTGCAGTCTCGTCTACCTTCTCGACGAGACAGAAGACACCCCAACCCTTGCACCTCTCTTTGAAGTGCAAATGGATCTCGTGGTGAGTACCGATCAGCATCCTGGATTTTGTGATGGTTGCATTTCACAGCAAAGTCACAAATTTGTGCACACTTCGACTAGTAAAATAGAGTAAGCTGCAGCTACTCGGGTTCGTCACAATAAAAGGGACTGCTGATGGTCATGAGAGAGCAGTACTCACTAAAGTGATCTAATTGCAGAGCGAAGTACAGTTGATTCATGTTGATTTGAACGTCCGGCTCTGAGCAACCAGCCAGGTCAGACTAATGAATGTCACATCGAGTATATGACCATATGAACCGGGGTTCGAGTCTCGGAACCTCGACGCTTGAGCCTGAAATAAGTCCAGCTGACGATAAGAAACACATAGGAAATGCACATTTACTTGCCATATTTTTATTTTCGGTCATACATCTCAGGCAATGTTTCGATTCCCGCAAACACCTTTTAAGCCATCATGATATGAAGTGTTGTCTTTCCGTATTGGTGGATTCCACACGAGCAGTAAAGTTGGGCGGGTAATATCGACCCAAGTGTGATTAAATTCATGGCGCGAGTTGGCTTCCAGTTAAGGCCTTCTCTAATACGCAGGCTCAAATCCCGCCAAACGCCTCGTGTTTTTTCACAATTGGGTGAACTCAAATTTATTGTATAGGTCAATAATACGCAACTGAATCCAATTAGTTAAACAATGGCACTCGTCAGTGTAGAAAGGGGGGGTATAACTATAAAGGATCATGTTGGGGAATCAGATGAGGCATGGCATTGTCGTGCATGAGGATGCAATCTTTTAAGACCGTCGCTCCAAACCGTAACCCTACTCAAACTGGAACTGGTTTCGAGCTTTACAGTGAAGTCAGTTTGGATTCTAACTTGCAAATCAACCAATCTCAGCAAAAATGTTTTTTTTAGGCGGTAGTCGTAAGAATAGAGTCACGTTGAGGAAGCCGACGGACTATGACATGGTCGTGTATGGTGACACAATCTTTCAGTACTACCTCTTCAACCCGTAAATTGTACAGACAGCTTATCAGTGAAATATCACGTACGAATGGCTAGTCGTCAATCGTCTTCTCTCTCTCCCTCTCTGCCTCCTCCCCTCCCCCCCCCTCCTGTCCCTTTCCCTCGTCCGCTTCTCCTCCGCATTTCTTTTCTCATGTCTTTCTATATCCTTCCTCTCCTCTCTAGCACGCTTCCTCTTTCTAATCTTCCTCTCGCTCCGTCGCTGCTTCTCTCTTTCCTACTTTACGCCAAGTCGCCTTGGCAAATATCCCGTAAGGAGCATTTATTCAACACAGGATTGGTTCCTTGCCATGCTAGAAACCGATTTATACACTGGCGTTTTGACAGCAAATACCTTCCATTGTTGCGCAAAACAATTCTGTTTTATTCAACTCTATTCAGGATCCTTCGTATAAGATAGACCTTTATAGAAGGCAAAAACAGTTTGAGAACCAAAAACGTCAGAAACAGTGAACTTTGGAAACTTTTTGGAGCAGATTTGAATTGGCCCTAAGTGCTCCCTAGAATGGTTCCTGAATTAGAGTTTGCCGCTATGAATTACTGCAAAGCACTTCTCGAGTGAACAGTTAGAGGGCGACCATCCCGTAGTAACGCCGGATATGCTATCGCAAAGGAGTTAAGGCTACGAATGTTTAACCCTAACAGCTGCGATCTTCCAGGCCCGGTTTCTTAGAAGATGAGAGAAGACTTTGAAAGCCAGAGGAGTAGGAAGATTGTATTCTGTACAAAATAATAGGAGCATAGTTAGCAGAAGGGTTGACTCGGTCTGGCGCAGAGTTCGACCGTGAGAGCCATGTGGGAGAGCAGCGGCGCGCGTCCGCCCCGCGAAGGGGCAGAATGCCAAGTGAGTTCTAGCGTCA